CCCACAGCCCCCCTAGAGCTGCTGATGCTGCTCCTGCTGCTCCCCAAAACCGCCCCCTCGCCCCCCTGCTTCTCCCTGCCGCCGGACCCCCCCTCCGAGCTGGATTTGACCAACAGCAGCCAGGGGTGCCCCGAGTTGGACTGGAGCATCTTCCGGGGGCAGCGGCGGTTGGTGCTGAGCCACAACGGCATCGAGACCCTCAGCCCCTCATCCCACCTCCAACCGGGGCTGGAGGACCTGGACCTGTCCCACAACCTCCTGAAGGACCTGCCCCCCAAGTTCCTCTCCGGCGCCGGGGGGCTACGGAGTCTGGACCTGTCCCACAACCAGCTGCAGGACCTGCCCCCCAATTTCTTCTCCAACGCCACGGCCCTGAAGATCCTACGGTTGGGGGGCAACCCCCTGCCCGCCGTGCCCCCCACCGCCTTCCAACCCACCCTCCGGGAGCTGGTGGTGCCCTGCGGCTGCCGGGTGGTGGGCAGCGTCCTGACCCCCTGCTCCTGCTCCCAACCCAACTGCAGCGTCCCCCAGTGCAGCTGCCTCACCTCCCACCTCCACACCTTCAACCTCACCCATTTCCACGCCAGGGAATGCCAAGGTGGCGTGGGGCTGGTGGCCGGCTTGGCCGGGGCCATCGGTGGGGTGGTGGTGGTGGTGGGGGTGGTGGTCGCCGCCGTGATGTGCTACCGGTGGAGGAAATCGGCCACCGTCGCCACCGGAGCCGGGTGGGGTAAACGGGAGTCCGCTGCACCCCACGGACAACCCCGCTACATCAGCCGGGCCGAGGAGATGGATGGCACCGATGGCACCGATGGCACCGTCAGCGCCGCCGCCGCGCCGGACTATGAGAACATCTTCGTGACCCCCTGCGCCGCCCCGGCCACTGCGCGGGGCTGGACACCGGGCTGGGAGGAGAAGAGGTACAGGTGAGGCTTGGGCACGGGCACCGGCTGCTCGGGGCATGGCCCATCCCCTGCCCTGCACTGCTGTGCCCTCCCGTCCCACCCCATGCCATCCCATGCCATCCCTTCCCACCCCATCCCATCCCATCCCATCCCATCCCATGCCATCCCTTCCCCTGCTGGGCTGGGCCATGTTATGCCATCCCATCTTGTGCTGTGTCGTCCCATCCCATCCTATCCCATTCCTGTCCTGTCCCATCCCATCCCATTCCATCCCATCCCATGCTCTGCTGTGTCATGC